TGCCCTTCAGCTGCTTTCTTTCCAGCATTTATCCATCTGTAAGATTTTGCCCACCCTAGGCCTGCTTAAGGGAACTGTCATGGAGAAGTGTTGAACTCCTTGTGCTTGTGATCAGTCTGATGGGTCACTGTGTTCCTCTTAAAAAGCAATAAAAAGCAATGGTGGGACACAGACTGAAGCACTGGCCTTGAGTAGACCTTACTCTGTAGTTGTTAGCACTTACTCTGGAATACTTTTGGCTTTGTGACAACTCGCCCCCTCTCAGGCAATGCCCAGACATGTCCCAGGTGCTAGCACAAGTCAGGGAGCATGAGACATGACCACACCTAATATGGATGGAAGAGCTTGACTACATGAATGTGATCTATGTCATGATCTGTGCTTTTAGCATCAAAGAATGGTCCATGATCTGTTTAAGAGAATAGGTGTAGTTTGGAAATACCCATGTGTGGTATCAGAGCCTGACTGCAGATAATGGGCTTGCCTTGTGGGGTTGTCTGGACAGGTTCTGGACTCAGAACCACAGCTCATGGGTCATATGGATTACCACAGTCACATGGGAACTTCTTTGGGTTTTGGAGAAGGAACTTCCTTTTACTGGGACGTGAAGGCCACATACGGCACATGATTAGGCCTGTTTTGTATGTCTTTTTGCTTTTCCTGTCTCCCTGAGACCCAGACAAGGTGGCAATGAATCAAAATCCGTAGATTCTGTTGTTGCTTGCCTGATGTTTGCTGCCAGGATGGAGTACTTTGCAGTCTGCTGGTCAGCCAGTTAGTGTTCATGTGCTTTATGAGAGAAAACTTCAAGCACTTATTTCCAGAACTGGCAGGCTCTATAACCAAAGCGTTCAGCATAACTCACTCTTGACTCACTGATTATTCCTCTGCTAACTTGCTTTAATGACTCTAGGAATTAGAAGCAACATTTACTCTTACACCCTGTTTTAATTGTGGTCTCCTGCAGATCACCCTGTAACCAATCTGTGCAATTCAAGGCTCATTGGGTTTGAATAGGTGACACTCAGCTTCCTCTTCTTGCTCCCTCAGTGGCCTTCCCCTTCATAATGAACATCACCAGAACATAAAGTTGGTCTTTCTGCAGACAGACACCCTTCCACTTTCTGTGGGAGAATTCTCTCTTTGCAATGAGAACTTGTCGTATACGTGCAAGCGTTGGTTGGGTTTTCAGAACTGCTTTTACCACTCAGTGCTCTGCATCTCTGGAAACTAGTCAGGATATGAAGCACTGCCTGACCATGTCTACATGTGCCATAGCCCACTGAAAACTTGGCTCTGCAAACCATCTCCAGATGAACAATGGCTCTAAAGCACCAGCCTTCAGGCCTCTTGTCTTACAGACAAGTTTTACATGGGATGTTAGATTGTCTTCTCCCTTCTGTTGACCCCACTGCATGTGTAGAAGGATGATTATATCACTGGACTGATCTTCAAGAGGCCCTGGGAAGCCCTCCCTGCAGCAGGCCCTTAGATTCTTGACTCCCATTGATTTTCATTCATTTACTGCTTTAAAAATTCCTGGATCACCACTTCAGCCTGGGACTTACCAACCTTCCCTTGAATGACTGTATGCACTCTCTGACCCTTTCTTCCCTAGCTCAGTCTCCATGGAAGTACTTCAGTGTATACAGTGTGACGGGACTCTCTGAAATCACATGGGTGCCTTCCAACTCCTGATACATTTTTATTTTAAATGCTGTGTTGCTAAATAGAACAGAATCAATGTCAGTCATAGTCAGCCAAGAGTCCAGATTACTGGGCATTTCTGTAGTGATGAAGCAGGACCGTTGTTAAGTTTACAGGTCTGCAAGTACCAAGTCCAGAGACAGTAAGCTGGGTCAGCAACAGCCTAATGATCACTAGGCAAGTCCATAACGGTAAGGTAGGTCATGATGCAAGATCATGATGGGAAGTCAAGCCTGTTGGTCAGAGTTGAGTTCTGGATCGGAGGGGCATGTGGTCTGGCTGCAACATGAACTAAGCATGGACCAGTGGTGAGAAGTTCAGCTTCAATGCAGTGCCCAGAAGCAGAGGGTCGAGCCTGTACTGGGTTGTCTTCCAGATGTTGTTAATAGAGTTTTGAAGGCAGCTAATGCTTTTTAAACAGCTCCAGTGTTTTCTCATTTCAGACTCAGATCATGTACAAATGGATAGAGCCCAAGATCTGCAGAGAGGATCTTCCTGATGGGTTGACCCTACCACCTTCTGGAGAGAGAAAGGATTGTCCACCCTGCAATCCTGGCTTTTACAACAATGCCTCATCTTCCTGCACTCCTTGCCCACAGGGCACATTTTCAGATGGGACGCAGGGTAGGAGGCCTTTCCCTTTGAAGACATTCAGAATTTGTCTGCAGTCAGTCACCTACAGATATCACTTGTGTTGCTATAGACAATTGTCTATTTGTATCTGGATTACTTTAAAGATACATCACTGTAAGGCAGAGTTCCTTTTCCATAAAATACTTTTTAAATGGCTTTGTGGAGAGGGATAGGATGTCTGGTTTTCCTCAAAAGTCCTTTCTTATCACGGTTTGCTGCTCTAAGTTGACCCCTTGCATTCTGGATGTGTTCCTTGGCTGTTATAAACATCCTAATGGTTATTTTAAGAGGTTCTGAGAAGTGGATCAGAATTTTCGGTCAGTAACTCCTTTCTGTCCTTTCTTCTGTCCATGCCAAGTTCTTCCCTGTGCAAATCTCACTTTTAGTATTGTCAGTTCAGAACCCTGTCAGCTTTGTCTAGCCTAAATTCTGATTTGTTGGTTCTGAAATGCACTGTAGATACCTACATAAGTTTGTGGGAACTATTGTTTAGCAATATCATCAACCTTTTAACCAAAGCCACTGAAAGCAGTGTGGTTTCAGGGATCGGTTGCAGATCAGTTGCTGCGGTTATGGTCTTCAATTTATAAATCACTAGCCTGTTTCTTTAATGTCATGGTCCTGATAAGTCATTGGCTGTTTAATTATAAAGAAATGAATTATTCTCCTAGCTCAATATTTCTCCCAAAGAACAAAATGCTAATGTCTGTGCTCTTTGAAATTTAAGATGCACTTTGGTTGTGTTATTTCCTTCTCCTGCCCTTTCTCCCCACAGAGTGCAAAGCGTGCCCTGCTGGGACGGAGCCAGCTCTTGGGTTTGAGTATAAGTGGTGGAACATCCTGCCAGGCAACATGAAGACCTCGTGTTTTAATGTCGGCAATTCAAAGTGTGATGGGATGAATGGTGAGCCAAACCTCCTGTATCGTTATGTGCCTGTCTTTCTCCTTTGTGGATCACCATTGCAATGGAGTGCACGTCAAAATGAATATACTGTTTGCTGAGTGAGTCATAATGTAGAGTTTCTTCCTTTTCTTTAATGGCACCAAGCTTGATAATTCTTATAGGAAGTAGTGTCACTGAATAGCACAAAAAGAAAATAAAACATCTCTTCTATAATGGAAGAGGGCAGGAGCTTCAGTCTACACCAATTCCCCTCAGCCAAGGATCTATCCTGTGATATGTTTTTATGCATCTAAATATCACTATTAAAAAAAAAAAAAGCTTGACTTTTCTTTAATTTATCTGCTCTTATATTTTGTGATAGCCATGTCTTTCAAAGACACAGTTCTTTCAGAAAACTGGCTTAAATTTGTGACCTCTGCTCATTTAGCGTTCAGAGCTTTCTGCACATATACTGAGATTGCAGCAGAGAGCAGTCACAGCTCACTTATGAAAATGGTCCTGTTCAGGCCTTCCCTCATCTTCAGCCCTCTCTAACAGATTTTCCTCAGGCTGATCTGTCTTGTTGGACTGATGTTACTCAAACTTTGAACTGTGTTGAACAGAGAGACACTTAAGTATGTGCTTAAAATTTAACACAGAGATTCATTGATTCATCAGTTTTAAGACTGGAGGAGATCAGGTGGATGATCCTGTCTGAGCTGCACAGCACAGGTCTGGGAATTTCAATTGCTTTTGCTGATTTCAAGGTGACATTTGCCTCTAAATCAGCAATTAATTCAATTACTAGTTTTTTTTTTTTTTTGCTTTTACAAGCATTGTTATACTCCTCTACAGTTTATACTAGGCATCTTGAAAATGTGCTAATGCACTGAATTGTTAAAAAAGTACAGTAACATAGCAATCTTTCTGTAATGTGACCCAGAAACCAGTCACTTCTTGAAAAAAAAAAGTGTATTTTGTCTTTTGAAGGATGGGAGGTGGCTGGTGACCATATCCAGAGTGGGGCAGGAGGCTCTGACAATGACTATCTCATCTTGAATCTGCACATCCCAGGATTTAAGTAAGGAATATTTTTCCATCAGTTTCTCCTTTATCTCTTCCCTCTTGCACCTATCCCTCATCACTCCTGGCATGAAGAGAGTTTTCCTTTTTGAACTGTAATAATGTCATGGTTCAAAAATGAGAAACAAGAGGAAACTTGCATTTTATTCCTGTGCCACCACTAGTTGCACTGCAGCAAACTGACTTCTTTAAGACTTTGGCTTTTTTCAGTAGCATTTGCTTAAATTTGAGATACCAGCTGGTTAGTAGTCCAGAAATGAGTAAAAGTGTTCCTGGTCCTCTGATTATAAGTCTCACTAAAGTAAACAACTAAAATACACTTGCTGAAAGGAGTTTACTCAAACCATTTTTACTTTGCATTGCAGCTGACTCCAGTCAGCAAGCCCAGCCTGTGCTTGCCCTAGAGTTGGTAGAGAGATCCGCTGCTGGAGGGGCTTGTGCCTTTCTTTGCTGTATCTCAGCTGAGTGAGGTTGCAACTTGCTATAGTATATTAGCAAACAATGATTTCTTTACTTAGTTAGTTAGTTTATAGGAAAACTGAAAATCAGAAAGAAGCAAGAAATGTGTGGAAAAGCTTGTCATGTCCCTGTGTGTTGCTCTGTGATAGTTATCACAGTAAAGAAGTCCATACCGATGAGTGCTAGTAGGGGAGGAGGATGCTTTTAAGTGTTTGTTGGGGAGCACCGCCAAATTTTTATGGTTTGCAAGTCCTAGCAAGAGAGGAGTAGATGCAATGCAATCAGTGTAAATTGCTTTACACTTAGAGCTACTACCGTGAAACAGAATTAAACATCAACATTCCCTATCAACACAATTGCACCTGGGTGAGGATTGCAGGGAGGAAACTATGCTGTAAAGAAGCCATGCACTTAAAAAATGATCATGCTGCATCTGCTACCCAGTACGTTGATTAACCTGGCCTCCATAGTTCTGCAAGGACAAGTTTTACGTGACAATTTCTAGTTTCCTTGTTGTATCAAAAGCAATCAGAGGGATTGACTGCTGTGTATCTGGAGAGCACCTTGCAAACATTTCATTCCTTCTGTGTTAAACAGACCTCCAACATCAATGACGGGAGCAACGGGGTCAGAACTAGGACGGATTACTTTTATTTTTGAGACCATCTGTTCAGCAGATTGTGTGCTGTACTTTATGGCAGTAAGTGAGACCTTTCTCTCCATGACTGATGATTTAGCCTGGTATTCTACGTGTCACTTCAATATCTCTACATAGGTGTGATGATTAGTTGCACTCGGCTTATTATGACTAAGATTAAGCATGGCATTAGTTTTAATATCTGTGGTGCCCTTGCAGGAAGGTTTTAATTAATGACCTAGGAAAGTTCCTTCATCACTCGAATTGTGAACCTGTTCTTGGTTATCTGTTTGTTTTTTAAAAAAGCATCTGACACCAAAGAGACAAATTTGCTCTTGTTAAGCCCATTGATAAAAATCTCACTGTCTTTCATGTAGTCAAGTTTGTCTCCGTAGGTTTAATAGCTTTTTATTTTCTTCCCTCAAAACCTCCTTTAGACTGGTGAGCAGATGCTTTTCCATATTTAATAGTAATTTAAAGGAAACTGCTGCATCTTGTACTGGAACAGAGGTGGAGCACTCACATGGTCATTTAAAGCCAATAGAGAATAAGAAAAACAGCCATAGATCTCACAGGTGTTTTCTCATGGAAACTTTTGACAGTGCTTTGTTGGCTTCAGTTCTGTTTCACTTGAGACACCAACAGAGTATCCAAAGATGGTGGAACCTACAGTTTTTTCTTTCAGTTTTTTGCCTTCCTTTCTTTGTGCCATAGCACCACATGTTTTCTAGAATTTGAAATTTCAAAGAACACTGTGATGTACTGTCTGGAAAACATTCATAACCTACCGTAGGACTTTGAACTTTACTGTTGTGTGAACAAGATCATCTTTATAATAGATGCCCATTCTCAGTTGTAAAAAATGCCAATGATGGAGAATTTCCCCTTCTTTATTAGAAGTTAAATATAATTTTGAAGTCCTGTACGTGTATTAAGCACTATTATTATAACACACCAGGATAGCATGACCCTACTTTTCACATTGTTTTTATTATGCACATTTTAAAGGACATTAATCGAAAAAATACCAATGTAGTGGAATCATGGGAGAGAAGTAAAGAGAAGCAATCCTACACTCACATCATCTCCAAAAATGCTTCCTTCACATTCACCTGGGCCTTCCAGAGAATAAATGAAGGCCAAGATGTAAGTATTTCTTTAGGTGCAGTGTTTTTAGTACAGTTTGTCTTTGATGCTCGCCATTGGAAGTCTTGGCCTCTGGTGAAGATCAGAGACCACTTGTAAAAGGGCCAAGTGGCTTTGCTGTGTAGCACCACTGTGGGGGTAGCTGCTCCTAAGTCCATCCACAAACTGATGTCCTGATACATGGTACTGTTGTTCGAGTCTGAATGCCATGGTGCAAGCAGCACCCAGGTCATTTCTTCCACTCTTGTTCCAGAGCAGGCAGTTCATCAATGACGTGGCCAAGATCTACTCCATAACAGTGACCAACGCAGTGGATGGAGTTGCCTCTTCTTGCCGGGCTTGTGCACTGGGCTCTGAACAGTCTGGCTCATCCTGTGTGCCCTGCCCAGCAGGACACTACATCGAGAAGGAGACCAGCCAGTGCAAGGAGTGTCCACCCAACACCTTCCTGTCCATCCACCAGGTCTACGGCAGAGAGGCCTGTGTCCCCTGTGGGCCTGGCAGTAAGAGCACCAAGGTAAAAGGGCTAAGAGAGGCTCTGAGCTATGGGCAGGCAGGATTGCTTGGAATATAACTCCCCAGTTGCCAGTTTTATTTCTTTCCTACAAGTATGTGGCTTGTTAACATTGGAGTATAATTATAACCAACCATCCCATTCTTCCAAAGATGTCCCTAGGCCAATTTCTGTTTGTAGATGTGTGATAACAACACCAAGATGACCGTGCTGGCTCAAACAAAATGTCCATTTAACTATGTTTCAAGATGCTGTGTGGGGAGCAGTATAAGACAGGGCAAGGAAAGATATACATTGCTTCCGCCTAAAACTGTCCTGGCCTCCTGCCCCTTTAAGCTCAGAGACTTTCTGAATTGGATGATGTTTTTGTGGTTTTAGCAACCTGTAGCAGAGTTTTATGTATGAACTTGCCCTTAAGCTCAAGTAAACTTTTAGCGTTTGTGTCATCTTTGGCAAGTAGTTGTGTAGGGATGTGAGGGACCACTCCATTTTGTTCATTTTCTACCTGTCTCTGACTGGGTTCATTTCATGCTTTTATTTCTTGAGCTCTGTTTCATGTGTTTCCTTTGCAAGATACAAACGTAACTGAGAGCTTGTTCTGCTCTGTCTACAGGGACTGTACCTGGGACTTTGGGATCCTAAAAGCATGCACGATGAAACAGAGAATGAAATTGTGTGTTCCCTTGGGTAGTGCAGGGGACAGGAGACAGGGCAGGCTTGGGGAACGTTAAAAGATGTCTGACACATGATTGCAAGGGACTGAAACAGGACAAACATTCTCCCCAGCCATCCTTGAGGCAGGGAAAAGACAAGTCATGAGCAGAGGACCAAGATGTCCTCCATCCTAACAGAGAAAGCATCCTGTCTGTACCTCCTTGCTTTACTCTTAGGTGGTGGTTTGCTGCTTGCCCTCAGTTGTTCTTTAACACATCCCTCTCTTTATCTGAAGGACCACTCTGCCTGCTTCAGTGACTGCTTGGTGTCATACATGAAGGATAACCAGAGCCTGAATTACGATTTCCGCAACCTCAGCCAGGTGGGCTCATTAATGAGCGGGCCCAGCTTCACCTCCCGAGGGACCAAGTTCTTCCACTTCTTTAACATCAGTCTGTGTGGGAATGAGGTGAGCTTGGTGGGTTTTGAGCATCTGGGGGATTCACCAAACTGTTGTCCTTGTTTATGATCCCTGGTGTTGTACTAATGAGACAGACTAGGGGCTCCCCTACAGCTGAGCTCTCCCTGTCACACAGCAAACTCTTTCCTCTGGATCTACCCAGTGAGCTGATTTTAAGCAATCAAGTTGTTTTCCAGATTTGATGTGACAGTGCTTTAGGTAGAAGTAACCATTAGGAGACAAAAGTCCTGTTTCATCCCTGCCCTTTCTTCATTCTCATGCCTCCAAATCCCTCCAGCCTGAAATTTTTGTGCTGCTACCAAGGCAATTCAAGCCAGGAGCCTGAGTCTTTCATGACCAGCTTCTTTCCATATGGTCCTGGTGCATATGGATTACACTGTCACATATGTCATTTGCAATTTTGGAGCAGTACCAATGATCTGAATTGTCATACGAAAGCGAGTGCACACAGGTTACATGATGCTGAGTTCTATACAGTTCTTAAGTTTCTTTCTTATCTACCAAAAGGTTCAAACACCTCCAAAAGTCGAAGCAGGTGATCAATGACATTTCTTTACAGTTTTTTTTTTAGGGCTTAAATGTGTTTTGAAGTACCTGTCTTGATTAGAGCTGCCAACAGTTAGATCCACAAAGGCCAGGTATCAACACTCCTCTGTGGATCTGGTCTCCATTTTCGAGGATGCTGCTAACCATATGACCATGTGTTGAACGCTTGACAATTTTAGGGTCAGGCCTACACTGAGTTAGTTGATTTTTTTCTTTTTCATTGCTGTTGTTCTGAAAATCTAGTGTAGGTCTTGAAATGTGACATTAATACAGCCTTGAAGGCTATGACCTAATAAATATCTGTTTATGGATTTCATGTATTTGTGCTTTGGGAACATTTTATCTGGATTAAATACCAAGTAAAGAGATATTCTACAGTATATAATTTATAGAGAAGGGAAATACGATTTCCCTTTGCAAGCCATTTCATTATGCACTGTAAGTAAAGACTGTGCTCTCAAGATAAACAGAGAAAAGTACTTTATAGCACAGGTTTCTGGTAAGACAGATGCAGGAGATGACATCTTGTTTCTGAATCTGTGCTTAGCTTTAATCAGAGCCTTCGCAGTGGCATAGCTTAATGTTGCATTTTGTCTCTCTCATGATAAAAACATCAAGTTGTTTTTAAGATGCACTTAGATGTACCAAGTTTGTAATCCCGTCTTTTCCAAACCTTTTCACAGCCCACTAACAAACCAATAGCTTTCCCATTTTTCTTGATTATCCACAGGGGAAAAAGATGGCTATTTGCACTGACAATATCACAGATGTTACTGTGAAGGATATGGTTTCAGAATCGGAGGATTTTTCCAACTTTGTGGGAGCTTTTGTCTGTCAGTCCACCATCATCCCGTCGGACAGCAAGGGTTTCCGAACAGCCCTGGCACTGCAGTCCAACAGCCTGGCTGACAGGTTCTTAGGTGAGTGGCTTTTTCTTTACAGGTTGCTGAGAGTGAAGGCTGGTAAGCTTATAATAATAATAGTAATAATAATGTGGGAGGTTTGTGGCTTGTTATGATATTTTGGCTCTTCCAGACTGCATAAGAAAGTTATCATTATATATATTACCTCCATCCTTTGGAGTTTGAAGTGTACCCAGCATGGAACATATGCCTGTGTTTAAAACCTGTACAAAACAATGTTTGGCAATACAAGTGTTGTTGCAACACAAAGGAAGGCTATTCAGGTCAGTCGTGCACTGATGTTTGAAGGTATCAGGCCAAGGATGTGATGCAGCTATTTTAGAGAAGACAGTTGCTATCATGGATGTTCTTGATGAAGTTCTTAAGGCTGCACCGTAGCTACCTCTTAGTTCAGGAGTACTGCATCACCCCGGGAGCAGAGTATAGAGACAGCCCTGGTTTCAGGCCCAGAGTCCCACTTTGTTCTTGAGCTGCTGAGCAGATCCTGACTTTCGTTTTCAGTAGTTCTGATGGCAGGAGGAGAAGAGTAAGGACATCTCCCAAGCTTTTATCTTCCATGCCATCTATGTAATACTCACACTTGCCTGTGCATGTTCTTGTGGACTTCATAACACAGAGAATTTGAACACAGAAATCTCGGGAATCTAATCAAAAAGAGCTATTTTTTCTTTCATGTTTCCTGAACTTGTAGGCCAATAGTCACGTTAATCCAAGTATTTCTCTCCAGAGTCTCCACTCTGGAAAAGTCAGAAGAGGAACCTAGTGTTGGGCTATAATTAGGTGAGGAAGGAGGAGGGTCAAGATGATGTGGGGCCATGCACATATTTAAGTCTTGCATTGTTCCTGTTCACAGGTTCCCAGAATTTAAAGTCAGCATAGACAATGAGGTATTTAGTCTGTTCACCTGTTACAGGCGTTGAGTGTTTGTACTTTTTCCATCTGTCTTTAAGCCTAGAAAAAGCATTCAGTCTGAACTTTTAAGAGTTCCAGAAATGAAAACTCTGATGTAGTCCTTTTTTGTTCCACTAGTCAATCACCATTTCTATACTTTGTTTTAAAGCAGCTTTATTTTCCATATTAATTTGCCTGATTTCAATTTTCAGCTCTTGCTTCAGTCTTTCTCAATTTCACACCCACTTTTTCCTCCCTACAAATTCTTACAAATCTTTTTCCTACAAATCTTCAATACAAATATTTTTCTCCCTACAAATATTTTGTATACTGCTAGCAATGCACCTCCTCATCACATCCTGCCCAATCTGCCCTTCTGAGAAACTAAACAGGACAAGTTCTAAGTCTCTTGCTATCAATAATTTTTCTCAAGTTCCTGAATACTTTTGAGGTCTTTTCTGTATCCTCTGTAACTTATCAATACCTTTTCTTAAACAGTGGACACAAAACTGGAATACCGTCACAAATAATGGCAATGAAAAAACACCTTGATGTTTTCGTTTTCCAAGGGTCAACCTCTATCCTTTAGGAAGGGCAGGAAGGGCCTTCAACCCTCGGAGCACTTGGCTGCGCTAAAATATGTTTAGGTTGTATGGGAGCAGCTTATTGAGTGAAACAAGTTTCTCTGTATTATGTTCCTGGTCCTCCTCTTAATCTTTGTCTCATCTACTTGCTTTACCAACAGTTCTTGTGTGCTTGCAGATCACTGATGAAAAATTTGCAGACTGCATTATCAATGCTTAGAAAAGCCTGGAGACATACCTCATTTGATGACAATTTTCCATAGCCAGCTATTTTTTATAATTGGTTAGTTAAATATTTTTTTAATCCAGACCGTGCACTTTATTGAAATAACCCTGCTAACTTTTTAATTAGACTCTCATGTAGTAATTAGTGAAATACTTGATAAATTTACATAATTTACTTTAGCAACCAAATTCATCAGCACTCAAAGAGTGAAATTAAATTCGTTCTGCAGGAGTGTTTTCCATAAATTCATGTCAATTGGCACTCATTATGTATCTATCCATTAACTGAAACCCATCTCCCATTTTTGTTATTTTGCCTCATTAGGTTAACCACAGCATGATCTGTTTTAGTCTTGTCCTTTTTGAATTTCTGCACCATCCTTTTACTCTCCATCAGTCTCCTGAAATTTACGTATCATTGCAAGCTCTAATATAGAGAAACATCAGTAGGCAAGAGACCTCTGTGGCCAGCTTACTCTTAGGTCCGGGTCACCTGGCCTTGCTAGTCTCTAAGTGTGCATCCCTAGGAGATACTAACATCCTCTATTGCCGCTGAAGGAACAAGAAGTGTTCAGTTTTTCTTCTGGAAGGCAAACTGAGAGTCCTTGATGACTGCTTGTGGTACAGCTTGTTTGGTTCTCTGTGTTGATTTAATGCTCTGCAGCAGCCCCTCACCCATATATCCTCCTGGACACTGTTAAGTTAGCACATCGATCCGTGTCCTTTCAAGATCCCAGGATCTCAGTTGTCAATAGTCCTAAACCAGGTAATTGTGCCTAGTTCAAACTGTCATGCCATCACCTTTCTACCTATTCGATCTTCCCTTAAAAGAGTTATAACCAGACTTGAATTTTCCAGCCATGTGAATCATTCTCACAGATGTAATGATATTTATATCAGACTCAAGAGAATGCGATTAGGCTCTCTGAACTGTTGCAAGAACAAGCAGAAAGTGTCTTTTCTTCAGTTTTTCCCATCTTCCCACCTGTTGCTGGCTGCTACTGCATTACCCTTCTTATTGCTCTGGCTATTTTTCACCTCATGAAGGATGTAGCTTATCCCATTTGTACAGCTTGCTCTTCTTCTGAACTGCTGCAATGCAGCACCAATATCTTTTGTCTTTGTTTACGAGATGGGAAGGAGCTCTAAGAATTTCCTATTTTCCTCTGAATTTTTCTCTTTTTCATCTCTCCTCAAAATGCATGAGGTTCTGTGTAAACTGAGCTTTCCAAATGAGTCTGTCATTTGTATCAAAACATATAATCAAAGCTTGCCTATGACTCCATAGTTCTTCTTTCCATTGCATCTTTTAGTTTGCTTTTTCTTTTTTTTTTTTCCTTCCAGGAATACTATAAATTGCTCAGAATGGTTAGGGTTATGATATCTTAGAGTTATGCATATGAACATTATATGTAAGGTATATACTTTGAGCAGCAGATTGGATCTCCAGACCTCCCCAAACTAATTATTCTACAATTCTGCGATGTCCCCTGATTGCTCTGAATTCATATAAAAGAACAACAATAACAGTACTGTAAATAAATTTTGCTACCTTTTTATTTTGTTATGTGAATGCTGAAATCAGACTGTATGATAAACATGAATCTGCAGAGTTCACTTAGGTTAAAGGATGTTGTCTAGTTAATGGCTAGCGTATTAAATGTTATTAACTGACAGTCATTCTTTGTTGACTGGAAAAGCATGAGCGACAAATCCCTCAGAGATCGAGAAAGTCTTAGCTTGTTCCTCTTTTTTTTGTCTTTTTGCTTACATTCTAGGAGCTACTGTTGAAACGATGCTGGAAAATATCAGCATCAAGACAGATATATTTCCTCCCTCTCCAAGCAAAATACCCGATGTTCATTTCTTTTACAAGTAGGTAGAACATACTGTTTTATTGGTGTATCAACTCTCTTCATTTGTCCAAAGAAAACTAAATCTGTGAGGGAAGATCTTTAAGCCACCTTTAATCTTTATCACTTTAATCAGTATCTGGCTGATACTGATTGGCATGCTGAAGAATATGCCATATAATCAGCAAACACAGTTGTTCACTTGAGTCTAAATTATACTTGATTTGTAGAGAGTGATATAGAGCTTCAGCTCATCCATGTGCCATTTCCAATGTCACATTCATTTCCACAATGCCCCCCTCATATTGTATGTTTTCTTTCACATTCATTTGTATTTGCTGTGACATAAAAAAATGAATCGACCAAGGTTAATAAAAAAGAATGTTCCAACCTGCACAGTTACTAATGTGCTTTTCTTATTCTTCACTTTCGTTCATAAAAAGAGTGTCTCAGACTGGATTTGAATCAGTTTACATATCATCTCAATTAAGATGTCCTCACATAGGAGTCTACACATGAACTCACTTTCTAAACTTGGGCTCTGGAGCCTACTGATTTGCTCTCTAGGCTGTGTTGACTTTATTGTTAGATCTTAATGGGCTAAAACATTGTGGATACTTTGTGAGTATGTGTCTGAACCTGCAGACTGAATCCCACATCATACATAATATACTCAAAGGACTTGGTTTACAATGCTCATCATGCTGGAATAAGGTCCATTTTTTTTTTGAATCCTCCTCACCTTCTGCTATTTGAGGAAAATGTGGCATTCAGATTCCTGGGTGAGGAGAGAGCCATCAAACTCTCCAACAGAGTAACAAAACAATCCTAATGTCTTTAATTTGTTTTCTTTAATAGTTTTGTTGTATGGGCAGGTTATTCCTTGGCTCAGCAGAATTCGAAGTAGCCAGAAAACAGAACAGTTCCCTAGGTGGCATCTTAGAGTCCTTGGAGATTTAAATGATGCTATGAATCCTACCTTGCTTCCATCGATCCTTTATTTTTATTTTCTTCCAGCTATCAGTGGCAAAAGGCTTGAGGTAGAAGGTATTTTTTTAGTGTTACAGAAACATGGATAGGTCATAGACCTATGAAGCAGCAACAGGTACATATTGCAGTGGTCATGTTTTACTGACCACACATTTTCCCTCTTGTTTCACATTAGGTCTTCAACAGTGACAACCTCCTGCGAAAACGGCCGTGCGACTGTAGTGACGATGCGATGCAACCCCAACAAACCCGGTCAAGGAGAACTTTCTGTACCCAGGTATCTAATTATTTTTATCCTAGTAGCCTAAAAGCCCTTTTCCCTCAGGTATCTTCTGCAAAACTCATTTATACTTAAATGCAATAAGTGCTCCCTCCCTCATCAGTCCCCCAGAGAGTTCACTCATTTCTCCTAGGTGAAGGCCTTGCTTGCTAGTGTGTCCATCACCTCCCAGTGGACTAGGTACTCTGTTTTTAACTTATGCAGTTAGAGGGGCCAGAGCTCAGGAAAGCTGTACAAACTTAAATTCAAAAGTGCCTTATGACAATATTTTGTTTTCTGCAGTTCTCATTCATTTCAAATCCTCATCTGGATCTTTGACTTCCTGATTAAAGCTGCCTAGTCTGTACTTTGAAAGTCAGTTTTTCTTCCTTGAACTGCAGCAGTGCCTGTGAACAAAATGATTTTTTAGGAAAAGAACAAGCTGTTTCAGGACCTATGAAAACTGCTTATTGCAATGCTTGTTTGACCCTGACTCTGTCCAGATCAAGTTTGATATGTGTTTTGGATCCATTTATCTTCAGTGATTTCAAAATAAAAGATGATAGCAATTATGGTAAGATGGAGATACACTAAAGGAGTTAGCTACCTGGGATTTGAGAGATTTTGGTTCAGTGCAGTGCCAGAAAAAAACTGTGTGATCCTAAGCCTGTCAGTCCTTGTGTGCCTCAGGTTTATACTTGTGAAATGAGAAGAGTATATATCTTCCACCCAGGTGTCATTATGTTAGATCATGCTTTTGAATTAATTGACAGTAGAGATGTTCTCAGAAACCGTGTTAAAGCATGGTGTGTTGACAGAGGAGCCCCATGCTCTGCTCACATTCTGAGCACAGTGCTATGAAGCCAGGCTAAGCAGCTCTTTCAGTCCTTGTAGCCCTCTTGAATATGCAGCACTAAGGTCTCCCTCTCATCTCCATCCTTGAGCTGAAGCACATCTGGTCACTGGAGTTTGTATTTTCAGCCCCTTTCACCAGCTGTGTTTCATTTGCCTGACCTGATTTTTCCCCTTACTATGATTCAAGTGACTGCAAAAAGCTTCTTCCTTCCAAAGACCTTTTCCTACTTCCAAAAACTTCCAGAGAAAAAAACAATAAAAGGATTAACGTGCTTACCCTTTAGCAACACCCTGTGATCTTTCAGAAGTTCCCCTTGGTCCTGCTAGCCTTCATTTTGGCTGTCGATGCCATCTGCTTCTCAGACGATGGCCAAGTAGTTGCTATTTGAAGGCTTCTGAAGATGTTTACCCTAGTTTCCTAGGGATACACCAACCAATTTTACTCAGCTGCAAGGCACCATGTAATCCCTTGCATGTGAGTCTTTGCCTTTTAGTGTGGCATGTTAAATCCAAGGTGCATTGGGGATAACTCACCTTTAGTAACACAGGTGTAATGCCCTTCTTTTTCAAAATCAGGAATGTGGACAGAAACTGCACAGAGCTGACAGGACATGCCTTACCGCATTTCCTGTTGAACTCTCAGTTACTAGCCCCCTTTGATTAGCTCAGCAGTCAGGTAGCTATTTTCAAACAGGGAGGTATCTGATGCATGTCAAATAATAGCACACATAACTCCTTGATCCTCCGAGGCATAGTGTTTAGTATCACGTGGAGTTGCAGTGTAAGATGAAAGAGGCAGAGGAGAAAGGTCTGTCAAAGCCCCTGTCATATACAGAGAAAAAAATATTCCTTAATCCAGAGAGGAGAGTTCCCAGTTTTTCAAATCAAGGTAAACCAGAATAGATTTTTAGCTCTGTGGACTTTTTGACCATTCAACTCAGGGAAACAGATTTCCATATGATGTTGAAATGCCCTTTTGCATTAATTTTTCTATATGAATATTTTTCCCATTTACATAGCTTAACTTTTTATTGATGGTTCTGTGGACTTTTGGTTACTGCTGCCGTTAGAGTTGATCTATCTGTCAGTAACAAAAACTGAGTGAATGTCCTGGCATTGCCAGAACAATTTTGTTCTATCCACTGAATACAAAATAGGGCCATTAGTCTTTCTTGGCCTAAGAGAAGCTGTTATGTAGTCATTAACTGTGGAACATCCTTCTGGTAATTAGCCATGACAGCTCAAGTCCACTCCATATGGATAAAATCACCCAGACATCATTGCAACAGCAGAAATCAGACAGTAGCATTCACATGGAACAGTCAGATGGTGTAGGAAGAGAGATAAAGGCATTCGCTGGCCTGGCACATGCTGGTGAAACATGGGAGCAGTTCTCCGTGTGTCCCAGGCTTGGTTCTTTCTGTTTTTTTTCACTGTGGGTTCATAGGTAGTGCTCACCACCAGGAACTGCATGGCTGTTTTAGTCCTTTGACACCCAACATCTGTTTTCACTTGAGAAAGCATTGTACAACCTGGAAAAATTCTTCCCTCAGATTTTTCCATCTGCTGACTCAAGGGGCTTTGCCCATTTTTTTTCAAATTATCATAAGCAATCTTCAACAGCAGTGTGTGATCCCAGATCATTTTGTACGTGACGGATAATTCAGACTTGCTCTTCTCTCAGCTCCTGCCCTGCTGGCACCTGTGATGGATGCACTTTCAACTTTGTGTGGGAAAGTGCAGAAGCTTGCCCTCTCTGCACAGAGCAAGACTACCATGAGATTGAGGGAGCCTGCAAGAAAGGATTTCAGGTATGCGATCAGTAGCTCAAAGTTGGGAGGGTTAATTTCAGTATCACTTGGACGTTGTTGAAATTTTGCACGCGAGCTGACGCGCAAGTGCAGGTGGAGCTAAGGAATCTTGGTCCACAGTCTGTGCTGGCTGGATGACAACCCTCTTGGTGAGCTGCCGTGTTAAGACTCAGGATTTTTGTTCCCATGGCAGTATAGTCCCTGAGGAATTGCTGGCTTCTCTAGTGAAATGTGATAATGTCCTTTCACTGGTTCAGAACCATTCTGTTGATCAGTAGGCAGGAGACCTATTCACAACCTATTCATAATGTCCAACCCAAACTCTGTCAGAAAGGTACAGAATAGGAAACACTTTCTGGCTTATCAGAACCTGTAACCACTATCCAGAGAATCTCAGCTGGAGCCTGAAAACCTGAAATATGTGTTTTGATCTGCTTCTTATTGAAAAGATGTCTAACCTGTCTATCTCAAAACATCTTGTTATATCAGAATAGTTCTCCATTTTCCTACTAATGGTCTCACTTTTCAGTCTTCTCTATTTTCCATTTGAAAGGAAACCTTGTATGTGTGGAATGAGCCAAAGCAGTGCATTAAAGGGGTTCCTTTGCCAGAGAAAAGGACGAACACTTGTGAAACAGTAGATTTTTGGCTAAAAGTTGGAGCTGGTGTTGGTGCTTTCACAGCAGTTCTGCTCATAGCCTTGACCTGCTATTTTTGGAAGAAGAACCAGAAGTAAGTACTATGAACTGTGTTTTACATAAAAGTAAACTAAAAGTTCAATGTAGTCATCATCCCACAGTAGAATGGCATTTCAAATATCAGTCCTTACAAAAGAGTAGATGAGAAATAGTGTTAGATCAGTCCATTAATCCACCTAGCTGAGGTTTCTTCTGCCAACAATGGCTATCAAAAATACTAGCAAGTAAAATATAGAAAGTCTATGGTAATTTGTTATCAGATAACCTCCTAATAGAAATTGTCTTTTTAACTCCTGAGAATTTGAGGTTGACCTTAAGTTCTAAAGCAACATGGCTTCATCAAGGACTGAAGACCAAAATAATATCCTTTGAATCTAAGTCATACTTTTTAATAGCGTTAAAACACTGATTGTATTCTGCTTAAGTTTTATTTTGGCAGTATTTGTCTGGTGTGTACCAAAAAGATGGATGTTACTCAGACTGGACATACTCACTATTCCCCATCCCTGTTGTCCTCTGCCTCCCAAACCTTCTGCCATAAATCTTCAAGCCATTATTCCACTCTCATGGGTTTTCATTCCCTCATGGTACATCCCGATCGTCCAAACTCAGACTCTAGCTTCATGCGCCCCTGCTACATTGAACTGTTGTCTGTCTCTCCTCTGAACCATAGACACCTTGGACAGATCTGTTTCCCCCAGCCAGCACACAGGTAGCTCTTCCTCATTAAAGAAATCCTCACACATGTTCAAAGTTTGGGATCTCTGAAGTATCTGCTTCTGGATTTTTGGATCTTTTATTAAGACTTTGAAGGATTGACCACTAATTTGGAGAGTACGACCTAGAGGTGTTGCTTATGCTATTCTTGCCAAACTTTTTCTTTTCATGATTAAAAATACAATAAATACCTTGTTAATAAATATGTGAAGGACTTCAGGTAATCTAATTTGTGAAAACCTTGAATGTGGGACATTTGTAAAAAAAAAAAAAAATCTGTCTGGCTTTATATCTTCAGGCTTGAGTATAAATATTCCAAATTAGTCATGACAGCAAATTCAAAAGAGTGTGAGCTACCAGCTGCTGACAGCTGTGCTATAATGGAAGGAGAAGATAATGAAGAAGAAATAGTATATTCAAATAAACAGTCACTACTGGGGAAGCTCAAGTCCTTGGCAACAAAAGTGAGTAGCAATTATTATCATTAATTCTAAAGAGTAATTATTACCATTATTTATTTATAAGTGCACATGATCAGGCTACGGTGCTAATTTGCACGGTGCTTTGTGTACGCTCCCGGCCACCCGTCAGCCAGTCCATAGTCATTCTACTGAATTCCGCAGTATGGTGAATGGGAAGAAATGTTGTAGGCACTGAGGAAAAGCTCTCTCTTCCACAGAATGATCTCATCATTCTTTATTATATGGGTGATATCCAAAAAAAAGAGCGGGAAGAAACCTCTCTCCTCATATTCCTAACAGATATCTCCATTGCTGAGGCAAACACTGCTATTGCAGATATGGAAAATTAACATAAAGAATATAGTTTGCAGCCCACCTGGAAGAGCTTTGTGGCTGTCTTGAGAACCATAAATTTGAGTGGGTTTCAATTGAAGAGGAGACATCTGCCAGAGCCTATTACCCAACAGAGTCCTTAAGCAACTTCCTCTGTTTCTGCGGACAGCAATACCCCTAAGCACTTTTTCAGTGGTTTACACAGAAGTGGGTGCTAAATTAGTCCAAACCTCATTATAACACGGAAGGAACAGTGCTGTCTAGAGGTATGGGTTTAGGGAGTCCAGGCAGTGTGAAACAGATGCAATGCTAGGTTATCCCGTGTTGACCATGCACTGTGGACTGTGCAGCTTCTCATGGCAAATATGATGTGAAATTGCTGTGCGTTTGAAGTCATAGTGAAAAGGTCTTTAGCATCCTTTCATTGTTTCCAAGAGGAGAAGCAGAAGACCATCTTGATAGGTCCTGCAAGTGCTTTAGTCTTTACTGTGATCCCCCTGAAGTCAATAGGAGAGTAGTGCTGTCTCTAAGACAGTATACTGGGGGTATCTGTTCTGATTCAGGTTAAAGCAGGATGACATTTTTTCTTTCCACTTGTGGTGAAGCGTTTTGTTTCAAAACAGGAAAGAAGGTTTCTTAAAAATGTAACAAAAATCTTTAAAAAATCAGTTTCTTGTTTCTTGTCCCAAAAATATTTCAGAATTTTGATTTTTAAAATCTGTTCTTGTGTTCCATATTTTTCCTTCTGCAGTTGAATACAGTAAATGAAACCTTGTGTGACTCCTTTCTTTTTCTCTTCTTTTAGTTCTTTTACTTGTTTATTAGAATATTTTCCTTTATTCACAGTACTTGTTCCCCAAATCTCCCTCCTAGGAAATGCTGCAATTAGACAACTAATATGCAGAACTTCACCCTGACCACAGCTTGAATATTTGCCCTGTAAAATCAATATTATTTCTTGCAAACAGGGGCAGAAATGCAATGCTAAGAATATTGAAAACATTGAAAATGTAAATAAAATCAAATCATATCAAATTTGGTGGCAGTGTTCCAAAAATGAAAGTTGATTCCATTTTAAATCCTTTTTTCAAAGGGAGTGACTTTGAAATACAGGTGATTTTTTTTCTGTGTGTTCAATGGCTCAGCTGTCTGTGATTTAGCTTAATGACCAGTGCAAGGTGATGTTTTGCTCTCCATCTGATAACTGTAACAGCTTTGCCAACTACATTTACAGTGCCAGTCACTGGCTTCTTTCTGATTAGAAGAAAAGAGATGAAGGTGAGGAAGAAGTGGTTTTTTTTCCTTCTTCTTTCTTCCTTTAAAGCTTTTAAGTAAGCTTCAGTACTACAGCATTCAGCCCACTCGAATGCCTATTTGGACTCAAAGAGACTTTCACTAAGTTCCTGCATCCATTTCAGCAGGCTTCCACAGTATTCTTTCCTTTTTAAACAAGCCTGTCAGATTTTTCTAAGCTGATTCCTTTTTCTTTTTCCTGATAGATGATCATAGCTGGCAAGCTTGGCTTTCAGTACCTCATTAGCTTACTGAAATCTGTGTCCTGCATCCCTGCAGATAACTGGAATTTAGTATATATTTCTCCAAAACAAATGTTATAGGCATCATTTTTGTTAATGCAAAAGATTAGGATATTCATCTCCTCCTGTATTTGTATGTAAGATACAGGAAAAAAAAGTATATAGAGGAAAATGGGAGAGAATAAGGGGGAAATGTAAACTGGGAAATAAAGAAATATCTGAAATAACTATATGTTCAGGCTTCAGGCAGTGACATTTCTAAAAGGCAAAGCATCTCAAAGCTCTCTCTTAGCAGCTTTGACTACCCAAAGAATTCAGGGACAGAGCTGTAATATACATATATATACATATATATAATGTTATTTTTAATAAGGATATAGAAATTAAAGAATTATCAAACTGCCTCAGATCTGAGGGTGTTCTAGTTCAGTCTTTTTTCTCCAGCATAACAACACCAGAATCTTGGGAGGAAGAAATATATACTCTGCTGTAGGCATGTGTAGGACAATTTTTTTTTCCCTACTCTTTCTCCCCTCTGTCCCGAACCCCAGCTGAGATTGCTTCAAACAACAAATCGTAAGTTTAGTTTAATATCATTTCCAAAACGTTTCTCAACATCAACAAGTACAAAAGGTAGGCACACAAAACATGAACTGGCACAGTCTAATGAGTACTTTTACTCTCTTTTGTTTCCTTCTCCTGTGTGGGCTGTTGGGTTGTCCATACACACCATGATTTGTCTGTCCACACTTCACACCCTAATACCCATTGGCCAGATTGCCTCATCTGTGACTCAGAAAGCAAAATCAGAAATATCAATCATCCAATCCTGATATTTAAGATAGCAGGGGCTCTGTGGTCTCTTATAGTCCTTTTGTCCTATGGATTTTCCAAAAGAGGAGCTGGGATGGGAATCAAGGCAGTGATGCTCACACTCACAGGTTTTGCTCCACATATGAATTTGCTTGTTAGATTAAAGAAATAAGTAACAATAATTAAGTCTTTGGCAGGAGCTCTACTGGAGCTTTTAGAAGAACCATTTCTAACTGTTGAAGTGAATTTAAGGAATCCTGGCTGATGGCAACTTGTCTTTTCCATTGCAGGAAAAAGAAGATCATTTTGAATCTGTTCAGCTGAAATCTTCAAGATTCCAGAATATATGAAGAATTAATGCTGCCTTCAAAGAAACAAACCTGATTTCTATTTTTACAGGACCATATTTTAAACATATTCTGGCACACATTGTAATGGTGGTCTCAGTGAGAAACGCTAAGCCATTTGGGAGGAAAGAAGACAGGAAGCAAACCAGAAAATTGGATTGCCTTATCATGTGATTGAGTAACTTGCCAAAAAAAAAAAAAAAAAAAAGAAAAGAAAAAAAGAAAGCAGATGCTTGGGTTCCATACTGGGAATGAAATTCAACTCAGGAAGAGATATACATACTGCAAATAACATGATTTTTTGCATTCACCTAGGCATTGCCCAGGCATGCCACATGATTTATAGGTACCTTTAATTTTCTATCACTCCTTCTACGCATATTCATAAGCAATGAGTTTCAGAGAAGCCTGAAACCTCCTGCAAAGGTTGTGCATTGTCCTTTAGTAGCATAACTGTGAGTCTCTCTTAAAATCAAAATAATAAATGGTACTTGAATGAGTTTCAGGTGAGTTTTGAGCTTTGGAGATGTTTATGCTCTGAAGGACAGGATGGTCTGTGTTGGGTTTAATGCAAGAGTCACAGTTTTGAATCTACAATTTGAATCCGTTCTGATGCCTAAATCACAAAAATTGGGATGGAGGTACAAGCTGCTGCTATTGAATTTCAATGTGTTTACTGCAGCTGTATGAATTATAGGACTGGATCCCTGAGTTCATAGGTAGTGGCAGGCTCAAATTCTATAAAGAGTAGGAAAGTGATAGCTGTAGTGCAAACTGCACCTCTGCCTCTCTGTGGAAGCTTGTCCTTTGGAGAGAGGTTGGAGGCAGTTATGGTAACCTCTCTCGGGCTACCATCACCTTCTCCTGGAGTGCAAGTCCATGGAGACTAATCCCTGGAGGTGAAGCACAGATCTCTGCGTCTGGAGCCACAGAATGAGCTTCATCACTTGAAGGGCTTAGAAACACTCAAATGGAGTCTCTGTTCCTGGGCTCAGGTGAAGAATGAGAACAGATGCCTAGAAGAGCTTAATGGAGGTTACACACTCGTGCAGCTTAGCATCTAAATGCTTTCTGCTGCCAATGCAATTAACTGCATTTAAATGAGGGCACAAATTGGTGCCTTGAAAAGTGGAGGCAGGGTGGAATTGTTCATAAAATCAGTCACATTATAAGCATGTGATTTTCATAATACCCTCTGTAATCATTTCCTGAAATTCCCATTGAGGTTGAACTCAAAGGAATCTAAAACTTTGGCAAAAAAGAAAAAAAAAAAAAGAGTAATATTGTGCAGGAATTCTATAGACCTAGGAGAAAAATGAGAAACAAATCTTGTCTTGACGTCTAGTCAGACTCATACTTCCTTTATATTAAAATTATGTGGATTGTGGAATGCATCGAAAACTTCAGAAAAGTCAGATGGACAAAGATCGTCTTTTTACTATAAAAAATAGATTTTTGATTTTATATGACTGAGCTACATCTATTAATAAAACAGGGCCCACTCAAGTAAAATATATTTTCTTTCTGCATTCTGAATATTTTATTATACTGTACATGTGGACAAAAAAATTTGAAGTTTAGATTTTTTTCATTAAGGAAAATTCAAATCAGTTGCTTTATATCTCCAGTCACAGAACACAGGCTTTGCTCTTTTGATGGGATATACTTCAGGCACCTTAGTAAAAGTAGTGTACTTTTTTTTTTTGTCTTGAAAAGGCACTTCACTTTCCCAGAAAAGATTTTTATGGGGTATTGTTGAATGTATATTAAATACACATTCCTTTTTGTATATTTTGTACCATTGCACTCTTATTATTGTACATTGTATTTGTCGTCATGATGTCATTTATAAATGGTTGTCAAAGATTATATGCTCATGGAGTAAATGATAATGGCTTTGGGATTTCAATTCTTAGATCTTTTATGAAGAGGGTTTTTATGTTGTTGATTTTTATTCAACTAGTGTGCTGTAGCATCGAAGATATATATCTGATGGGCATTCATAAAATAAAGTGAAAATATATTTGAAATTTTGAACTTCAGATGTTTGGGTAGGACTGCAGTCTTTCTGAAAATGGTTACTCTGCACTTGTGGCTAGGATTGTAGAACTTTTCACTGCCATCAAATTGCATCTGTGTTCATCTCATTTTGTTTTCATCTCTCCATGCATTTTTCCAAGCCATAATTGCAATTCATTCTCCAGAACATCTTTTCTCCTTTCATCTTTGGATTTATGTTTCTGCAATTTTAAAATGCCTTAATTTTTATGAATTGTATTTCACTGCAGTTAATAACACAGACGGTGTGTTTTGTTCTTACCCTTCCCCTTAAGTTTGCCAATCAGGTAGAAAATGGGCATTTCTTGTCAGCTCCCATAGACTTTATTGTACAAACCTTCTCAGGTCAAGTTTCAAATATTTTGTTATTTAAAACCAGAATTTCATCAAAATTCTCCCTGGCAATCTAATAGTGCATTTGGTGCAACACTTACATAGTAGGATACCAACCAATATTGTAGACTTTATTTACTTTTTAATAAGAAAATGGCATTTTCCAGTAATTAAGAAAGTTAAAACTGCCATATCTTAGCTGACTTTTGCTGTTATTTTCTTTCTGCTAAAGACACAGTATGAAGGGGAGGTTATTTCCATTTTCCCATGAGGCACATTTTGGAAGCCTTTTACACTTCATTAAGAAATCTGCTGTCTGTGACCTCTTCTAGCGCTCTGCCAAAATATGCTTACAGCAGCCTTCCCCTTTACTCCCTTATGGAGTCACACCAGAAATTGTTATTTGATGCCATAAAAACAATGTGAATCAGTCTGTTATGTGTTCAGTTGATTAAATGGAATGCATTTTATTGCTGCATTTGCATGCTTTTCTTTGAAATCCGGAGTCAAGCAATCAAATCTCTTTGAAGATTAAGCACATTTCAGTGGTGTCTCTGTATAAATTATTGGCAAATTAAGCAGAATGTGTCTCAGCTTTGACGGTGCTTGCTAGGGGGGAATTGTGCAAAGAGTGTGTTCTATCTTAGTTCTGATTATGCTGGTTGGTGTTTGTAGCATATCATACAATTGACGTGGAGTCTGTTTGGGGGGGAAATTAAGTCTTTCAGAGCAACAATGAAAAGTCATTGGGTATTTTCAAGTAGTTATCACCCCTGTTCAAAGAGAGCATTTTAGTGTTTGCTTTTTTTTTTTTTTTTTAAAAAAAAAGGACATTCTGGGACTCTCCATATACGAAGGAGTAAGTTTGTAGTATTTGTTTTCCCTGGTGTGTCAGAGTCAGTAATACCCATAAAATAGAGACACTTACCTGTTAAATCAGAAAAGGCAGCAAGAAACATCATTGTCACCTGGAAGCTGGTGCTTGACTCATCTCTAGCAGTGGCCAACACATCATAGGAGTAAAACAACTTCATCACAAAAGTAAAAGCAGCTACAATGGACACCAGCATTCCAATGAAGATGAAATTCCTTCTGAAGCTAAAAATCCCTCTCACTAGTGTCCATGTCCTGAAACATGAAGGACTTAAATTTTTATTCTAGTTAATGTAATAGTGATTGATAACCTCTAAGAAATCCTGGAAAGTTCTGCTATCTTTGGCATTCTTCTCTCTTAATACTTTCCCCTCGTACACTTATTTCAGAGAATCACAGAAACTCCCAGTTTCTGCTTCTTTCTGCTTTTGAGCACATTAGAATCATGCTGCTTTGACAGGCAAATATGAAAATAGGAGCAGAGGAAAGGTATGACAGCTCAAGCTCATTCTGAAATATGTCAGAGGTATCACAGCAGAAGGTGACCCCCCCTCCCCCCAGCATCTTGTTGGCAATACTTCCAATTGAATAAGTGTGGCAAGGATGAGGGAGATGTAAGAAGGGAGGATTATAAGCTGCTACAGTGTTTTGGTTATTGCCTCAGGTGTATACAAGGCCCCATGCTCTGAGGCGGGTGCTCTAACAGCACCTACAAGCCACGGGAAGGTTGTGTGGATGTTTTTCCTGTGTGTTTGAATAAAAAACATGCAAAAGTGACTTCTGAGAGCTTTCATTTTATGCATGGCCCAATTTATTTCCCTGGCTCCCTCCTCACACACTTTACCATGCTAGAGGCTCCCTAGAGAGTTCAGCCCAAGACACATCCAGATTTTGTCTTAATGTTAGCTCTTGAGGCACTGTAGTATTTGTACTCACGTTACTCATGTTAATTATGTTGCTGCTGTTTCTGCTAACCCTTAACTATTTCTGTTGATTTCATAGTTGTCTTTCGTTGGTCTAACATAGGTTTGTTGGACACATGGAAGCAATCTTTGGGAGCTGGACCACTGCAGGTGAAATCCATTGCTCTGTGCTTCCATTTTTGTTGCTCCTCCAAGATTGCATAGAGGCATTTATGATGATTTAATAATAATAGTTTCTAAAAGCTTTGCTAGGCTTTGAGGACTGTGTTTGTGGGAACGCAGTGGGCTTTGCAGAAAATTGACTTAAAATGGCAATGTACCAGAAAGCCACACTAGGGCAATGTTTTTTTCCGGGTAATGATTTTTCAGCTCATTCTACACAGCCTGATGTCCTTATCTGTCTTCTTATTGTTGCTGACAATGGAAGATTTGGTGTAAGTAGGGAAGTGACACTTTCAGGGAGAGAAGAGACCCTTCCTGACTGCCAGGGGCAAGAGTCAATAAGATTGACCTTTCATGCCTCCTCCATGCCTTCACTTTCTACTCATCCCCTTCCTATTGCAAGAACAGTGGATTTTCTAGCCTTCAAAATTCAGTCAAGACTTTAAAAACAGACACTTCTCTACCAAAACATCAACAAAGACTTTTTTCTTTCAGGTAGACTGTTCAGCCAATAAGTACAAAGACACCAGTTATTCACAAACCTTCCTGTGCTCTTGATTTGTTCTATGGAATTAAAGTGCTCTAAGATTTCTGTTCCTGAATAAACAACTGGACTTTTCTGCAGCCTGCAGTGCAGTGTTGTTGAAGTTGGAGTAGGATTTGCTCTTGTTCTTGGTGTTTCTGCCCCTCTGGTGCATAGAGTGTTTGGGAAAGACATGCTAGGGGCTCCCATGCACCATGGTAAATTGCTCTAGGCAAATCTCTACTTAGGATGGAAGCCATAAAAATACTAGAAGGATTTTACACCCTAAGACTAGGTTTTATACTGGTGGGAAATAAAACTATAAACCATTTAAAACAGAGAGGCACAAATGATCATATGAGGCAGCATTAAAAACAAAAACAACAAAAAAAACAAACCCATGGGTATTTCCTCTTTGCCCTTGGTAGCATTGTAATATAGATTATACAGAATTTTGGAAAACCTTCTGTATGACTGTTTAGTAAGTTTTTTTTTGTGTGTTATTTCTTCTTTCTGCACAGTGAAGTTGGGCAAATCAAGTTTAACCACGTCGACTGAGAGTTAAGGAAATCAGCAGTACCTGCCATAACAGGGTGTGAGGCTTCGCTCCCCTTGAAGTACTCTAATAGTACTCTGTGTGTGTTTGTTCAGATTTAGTAACCTGGCCCTTGGAGAAGGGAGGATGATGAAGAAAAACAAAGTTTAGACCTCTGCCTTCTCACACCTATCAAGGACTTACCTACCTTTTTCCTTGGCACTCTAGCACTGGGTCTGATGAAGTGTGAAAATTTGCTCTAAGGCAAAACAGCACACTTTCCTCCCTCATCATGCCACATAAAAGGAAGGTCATTTTCCCAAGGTAGAAAGAGGATTTTTCCCAATATTAAAAGCCAGCATAGCACTAGAGCATCGTGCTCATATTCACAGTCCCTTTCAAAGAGTGAGTCCTGCTCCAGAGATTTTCATGACATTGTGATGTTGGCAAAGCTACGGCTAGACTTTGAAATTTTCTGTTTCATTTTTTCTGAACTTGGCACTGGTTTACTTCAAGCATCAGGAAGTATCAGATAATCTGCATCCTTTGAAATTCAAAGGAAAGAAGTGAAAAACTTTCAAGACACACCCAAGTGAAATATGGGAATGCCAGGAATAATATGTGAGCTCCAGAGGGCTGGAATGCCAGAATTAAGCATGTTTTTGTGTGCATATGCAAAGCAGTACCTACATATGTATATATATACACATCAAGCATACTGGTTTGGGGGAATTCCACATACATTTCAGTACTAGACAGCTCCAAGCTACCGAGGATTAAATGGGTACATGTGTAGCTGGTAGTAAAAGTGCAGACATAGACAGATCTTTGTTGGTAGACACACAGGTGTGCAGAAAAACTAGACAATTAGCTATGAGTAGCAATTTTAAGAATGGACATCTTTGATTCTGGCATTCAAAATTACTTTCAGAAATTAATTTCAGAAAAACTTTTCAGAAATGTGTAGTGAAGTCTACATGTAGACCTCAGGTCCAACAAATCTGCACTTCCAGCAGTGTGTACCTTCAGTCTGTGCCTTTCAAGCCTCAGTGATGCCGTCTTTGAAGTCAATGAGAATTTTGCTATTGCTTAGTTGGAGTGAGATCAATGAAAATGAGCCCTTAGGTAAATATGCCCAGGCACATTAATCAAAGCAATGTTTGTTTCCTTAATGACTTATTGGACCCAGCAGAAGAGAGGATTTCAGATTGTTTCAATAGAAGGAGAGAGGCCTTCTATATGCAGTTTTACAGTCAGATTTCAGAGTTAATTTGCAATTGTCTAAGTAGCCTGTATGTGTGCGTCTCAGACTGAGACCTTTGAATGCAAAGGTTACCTTGGAGGTGTGTGAATTTCTGCTGGATTTCTCTTTTGTGCCTTTTTTTGGTCCTTGCGTCTCTGCGGAGCTCCAATTATGTTTCATAGCCCTGGTGATGCAGACAAACTGAACCAGCTGTGTCATTGCTGGAGGTATAAACAATCTTAGCTAATGTTCTGGCGGACTTTCTTCCATGTCTTTGCCAGCCTAATCTAAAATCTCCTTATCTGTATATTCTAAAAGTCTATTGGTGTGCACGACAGCATTAAATCATGGCAAATGAGTGAAGCAGTGATCAAAAAATGACAGTTTTTGGTAATATCTCATTGAGATGCATTTAGGTGGGTCATAAAAACAGAAATATGAAGATACTTTCAAAAATATTTTCACTTTTGGAAATAACCCTGTTTCTTACTAATAAAAAGATCACTTGAGATGATTTAATAATGTGTTTTTTTTTTTTTGCTGAAAGAGAGGGAGTTTATACTTAGCCCCGATGAAGCATTTATCATAAGCAGCAGAGCAGGGCTGTGCATTTTATACAATGGAGATTCTGTAACATTGGCACACATTTGCACATATGTACATACACACATATACTAGAGCCTTTTTATCCTCTTTACCTACACTAGGGAAATCCTCTCATAAATATAATGATTTTGAGGGAAGAAGAAACAAAAATAAAACCATGCTGAAAAACTTTTACCTTTTTATTATTGGTGCCTTTACATTAATACTGCTGTTTTGTGCTGAGAAAACCAATCCGTTACAAGTAAGGTAACTGTAATATACAACATAGAAATGCAGTCTAAGTTAATTACAACAAGGAGCTACAAAAGAAGTTCGTAGGAAAGAAGTCACCTAACTACAACTGTGCTTGCAACAAATCACTCCCTTAATGCAGGACTATGCACATTGTGAACCATGGTTATTTACATGTCCCTTACAACCGTTAACAACAGAAGGGCTAAAATCAGTCTAAAAAGTTCCAGAACATCACTATATACTGTACAATCCTGAAAAATAATTTATTATACTGTTTCTAAAAAAAGGAACTATTTTGTTTTCTTTTCTTGTGATTTTTTCCACTTGTGTTTTTCAGAGTGCACAACATGTGCAAAATTTTGCCTAACAGTCTAGAAACTCCAGAGCTGAACTGCAAGTCAAAATCACAGAGATGAGGTGGTGGAGTCCAGAACTTCCCTTCCATTGCAGACAGTGGGAACATACATACTAGCAGATGCTGAAAGAGAAAAAAAAAAAGGGAAAATCAGCCAACTTTAGGGGTTGACCGACCAACAACATCTGGATTCAAACTCTTGTTACCTGGATCATCTCATCTAACCTAATTAAGATGTCTAGTAAAGATTCACTGAGGTTGACGGTGCCAGCAGCGGAGCTGACAGAAGTACTGCTTGCATTTCTGCAAGACAAGTCAGATCTTAGAAAGTCTGAAATATCCCCAGGAGGAAGCTGATTTCTCTTTGCTGACTATTGAGTGAGGCCAGGTATAGGGTGATGAAGAGTGTCTAAATAAAATGCATATATTTTGCAGGGGCAAAGGGTCTCACTTTATACAGTTTTCTACAGTAGTGTGAGATAGTTTAGCTAGAGTTGTGTTAAGATGACTTAGTAAAATAAATAAACATTGAATCTTTGGATTTTTCATGAAATGCTAAAGTCAGACTCTGCAAGCTTCCCTTAATTAGAATAGACATTTCTCAAATAAAATGCATGCATTTTTTAATCCAGGAGAGAATCCACTTCTGCACATTAGAACTGTGTGTTGACCTACATTTTAGTTAAAAAAATGTTTATGTGAGTCAAGAAATTTATGAGTAATTGCGAATTTGCAAACAACTTTTTTTTTAACCTAATCCCAAAGTATTCCCCTTGACCTCTAGGACCTCTCAATCAGGATTAAATATGACTCCAAAAGTGAGGGTTAGATTCTGATACCCTTATCTACATTGCCTAATAATTTATTCACAGTATTTTCTTTGCTTCAGTGACATGACAATATGATGCTGAGTATGAGACTCTGTTTCTTAATGCATTTGTATATTGATTGTAAAATATATTATTATTGTGCTAAAGTCTTGTGGATTTAAATTTAAAATCAATCCCATCTGTCCATTTTTGTTAAAATGATCTATTGGGCATCGTGAATGTGCTTTCAGATGCTCTATGACATCTCTGTTCACAGCACCATAAAGCTGTTTTCTGAAAGATACATTAGGTTAATGATAACAGTGACCCGGAAAAATGTGATGTCTTCATCAAAGAAAACATGCAGCAAGCAATGACTTAGTAAACTCAAGCATGCAGTGTAAAAAGTAGCTTATATAGCTGACAAGGGCATGGTCAGTCTTCCAAAACTGGTGCTGGCTAGTCTTGTCTTTCAGTAGAAGACTAGTTCTGTAAAGGCACTCAGCATCATTTGAAAGACGGAGTCCTCTTTCTTCAAATCAGCTACTAATTCTAATTCTTTATTTGAGTAAATAAATATTTCATGGAAAGCAGAACTACTTTAACAAGAGAAATTTAGAGGCAAATTCAGACCAAAGAACTACTTGGAGGAAAGGGTAAATCCTTGATAAACAGGAGGGCCAAAAATGAGCCCCTGCTCTGAATTATGTAAGGAGGACTTGATATTGCCCAACCTGGATATGCTGGAATCAGTTATTTGTAGGTAGCATCAAATTTAAGATTTTGTGAAAATTAACTCTCTGGTTTTATATTCAGTTTTAAACTGACTACAGTCTGACAATACCATGACCTAATAATTTTATCATTACTACTACTAGGACTGCTAACTACTATTACTTTTTTTTTGCCAAAATGAAAAATCGGTACTGCTTAGGAGACCTGATTCAAATCCCTATCCTACTATACTGTGACTAAGGGCAAAAGCATTTAGTTTCTGTGTACATCTGTCACCCACCCAGAAATTTTTTAGCTTCAGGGGTTCTGTGAACTTCAACACATTGAAGACTATGAATAGCTCAAAATACTGCAGTAAGTGGGTCAGGAGGACACCAAAGCCAGACAGAGAATATGATAATCAAGAAAAAAGTACCCTTGCTTTTTCAGTTCCCAGGCTTACCTTCACGGCACATACCTCTCTTCTAATGCTGGGAGGTAGAAATTAACTCTGCTGAGTGGAGGAAAATGCTCACACATATCCAGTTCTGTCTCTTGGCTGAACAAAAGATCTTACATTTCCCTACCCCTCAGCAATGTTAAACACCAGCTGTGCGTTTCACATCACGCCTTAGAGCAGCAGCCAAATGAAGAATTGCCGGAGCTATTAGAGACACCTCACCTCCATTTTGCCCTTGTGCTTGTGCCAAAGAAAAATGTGCGACATGAGCAGCAATCCTGATTTGGCTGCAATTCATGCTTTGCTCTCCTCTTCCCCAGCAGTCTTCTCATTTTTCTGAGAAAATACTGGGCACAGAACCCGAGTTAAGTACAAGAGCTCAGTGCTGCTGTGGGCACCTTGCAGCATATCTGCACAGTCAGGAATAGGCAGGCTCCAACTTGCTATACTGTGTGCTGCTTCCTCTACTCATGCTCACAGCTGGATAGCTGTGAGTTAATTGTGTAGAAAAGCTACATAGCTACAGTGGTTTAGAGCTAGAATTGCTACTCAGAGAGAATATATGCCTGCCTGGCTATAAATAGTAGCTTTAATTATTTTTCTGACCCCTATGGGGCACTTATGGAGAAGCTTACATCCGGGTGCAGATGTCCATGTGGATATTACATGGAGGTGGGAATACACTGAGGTGAGAAACTGAGCTTCTGGAGGAAAAATCCTGTGCTTATGATAATGAACAAAAACTGGCTTTTCAGGTGCCTCTGCTACTAAAATAACCTGCAGCTAATTTGTATCAGTCTCCATTAAGCAGCCTGTGACTGATGAAAACCGCGTTGAAACCAAAAGAAAAACAAGCTCTCAGTCTCAGGACTGATAAGAGGAATATATATATATATATATTTAATATGCAGTGTGGTGATTGATGTTCTCTCATTGTCCTCATGCTGTCACTGAGGGAATATTCCTACTGATGAGCAGGGTGCACATGAAAGGGGATTGTAGCAGGCATGGAAAAGGCCATGATATGGATTAAAAACAATTTGGATGACAACCCTTTTGGAAGTTTATGAATGACTGAAGAGTTGAAATAACATTAAAAGAAAATGTATTCAAAATCATTTACACATAAATGGAAGGGAGTTAGAAAAAGTTTGCCTGCTCTAAAAATATGGTGCTATCAAAGTGGATTCTCAGTGTTACTTTGCTAAAATAATCTTTGCTAAAATAATAAGGGAGCAGTTGGGCTTCTCCCATTGTACGCAACAGACCTTCTAGTCTCCCTTTCAGGTCTTTCTAGCTTCTTTGCAAGGCCTGAAAAGACCAACAGAGATGAACACCTCCGTTTTGTTAGTTGTAAGCAGGGGAAATAATGAGACAGATCTAAATAATGGATTAGCAAGATGCTCTAAAGCTGTATTTTTAGGCTTTCCTGAATGTCTGAAAGCTTTTCACAAACCTTAAAAGTAAATTTTCAGTTTAAAGCTGTGTACTGAGATTGCACATACCCACACATTCACATACATATTATGCAGTGATTGTAATAATAAAAAAGTCTAATTTCACAATGCAATCCTACACAGAAGTATCCACAAATCAAAAGGGTTTCTGATTTAGCTTAGTGCATAGTATATGGGACAAAACTGGAAAGACCACTTCATGCAGGCAGGGATGCAAAAAATCACACGAGACTTATCATTTTGTCTAATGGATTATTGGGAATTCATGGTTCTTGCAAATCCACTTTGGGAGTGCTGCGTACTTCTGACTCTGGGCTTGATTTAAGTTCTCCAAAATAGCAGTGTGATTTTGATTTCTGATGTCAAGACAGGATGAAATCCTCATCTGAATGAGATGGGGGGGACAAGTAGTGCCATACAGCTGATCCCTTCTGAGGGGCCCCTGAGCACCCACGGCACAGTTTGGCTTTTGGGGTGGGAGAAGCAAAAAGTGCTAGGGCCCTCTTCCTCCTAATCCCTGCCAATTTGAGGGCATGGCAGAGTCCCCAGATCATTCCCACAGTTCCCTCTGAAACCTGAGATGCCAAACAGTTCTAGTCAATTTGGAAATTTAGGTCACAGTTTAATGCCTGAGGCTAGGCTGGTGTGATCTTCCTAGCAAACTTTGCTCTGCCTCCCTCCTTTCGTCCGTGTCTCGTTGTTTGCCTCTCTCTAGTCGCAGTGTGCTTTTTCAATTATCCTTCCAGGTGAGACATGCCGTCTGCAGAGCTCTGAACGAGGTGCTGTGTGCTCCCATGCTTGACAAGCTAAGCTTGACAAGGGAAAAAATATACGTGACCTATTTTTTTTTAATTCCCTAAAATATATGAACAATTAATGTAAAATAAAAAAAAAAAAGAGTGACAGTCCCAAAAAAATCACAGACGTGAATCTGCTTGAGATGAAGAAATAGAAGATGAGGGAAAGGAGGAGGGCAGGAGAAATGAGCTGGCTCGCACTGATCACTTCTCTAGGTGCTTGGAAAGGGTCATGCTAAGTGTATAGAAACAGTTTATGGCATCCCTCGTATCCATTTGCCCCAGACTTAGCGCCCTTGCTTATAACCCAGGCAATAAGATGCACTGAGAAAGCGCAATGTGGCGGCCTGGGTCCTGACAGCATCTCATTTTGACAGTAATACTCTAGGGCAATCTGTTCCTTTTGCTGCAGCGAGGGTGACAGTGGGAGACAGGTTTTGTGCAGAACGGGTTTGAGTCAGAGCCTGCGGGAAGCTTTCTGTTGAATTCAATGAGCTTCAAATTGGGCGCTGAGCTGAATCCCATGTGAGAAGAAAATGTTTTTCTCTCCAGACACAAATGAAATGATGCTTCCATGGGGTTCATAACCCAGCTTACAAAAAGCTTTGTGTTACTGGCAAAAAACAGCAACCCCATGATTTTACAGAGAGGTGGCAGTTTTGTTACTTACACTGGGAGTAAGTGGTCCCGGTCCCACTGACGCTGAACCTGTTGAGATGGAGTCTGTGAGTAACCACGTTCTTCTGGGGCTGGAAGAGGATGATGTGCACCTTGGGTGCAAACAAGCAGCCCAGCACGACGAAGCCACTCAGACTTACAGAGATGCACATGGTGGTAGTCTGCACCTAGGAGAGAGTGGGTGCAAAGTTCTGTATTTCAGTATAAAAAGCTCTAAAACATCATGGGAAGGATAGCTCTACTCTCTCTCTCTCTCCCATCCCCTTCTCCTTGACTCCTAAACATACCAGGAAGTCCTCTGCAAAGTTGGTCATGCATCAACCGGGCAAAGCTGGCTATAGTGGAAACTGCCTTGTAGGTACTGTGCTTTATGAAGGTTTATGTTAGGTGCCTTATGCAAAGCACTGTTTGAAAATCAATTTACTCTCTGGCCTTAATCACATTCAGAGAACCTGAACAATCCCTTGCAGAGATGTGGCATTCTGAGTAATCAGAAGAGCTTATTTCTGCAGGTGACATTTGCCAGATGGTCTTAAAAGTGCACCGACTTTGACACAGAGCTCCATAGGCTGAGAAGCAAATTGCTGGCAAGGCTACAGCATTCTGGAGGAGTTGCTATTGGGACATTTGTTAGTGCAACTTCACTGCCACTGTCTATCTTGCTGTTTTTTTTTTTTTTTTTCACTCGTATAACTAGGTGCCAGTTTACTGCTTCATTTTCAGTTTATATTCTTTCCTTCCTAGCCAATTCCTTAATGAAGATGTTGAATTAAACTACCTTAAATTCTACTGCTCAATCTGAGTGATTAAATATCCATGGCTCATTTTGCCTTAGTTACACTCCTGCAGTCCTGTGAGATTAGCCTTCTTCCATGCTTCTCACATCTCCCTGTCAGAAAATAATTGTTGCAAGATGAAAATTAGAGCAGGGAATGGATTTTGGTGCTTTCTATCTACACAGAGCACCAAGTGCTTTGTCAGCAGTGAGTATAATTAAAGTGCTCATATAATTAATAATCACTCTTTACCAAAGGAGTGTGTGGCAAGCTCCATGAAAAGGTGCTTTTCTCTCATAAGCATGAGGGATCACAGGAGACCATACAAAGGCAATTTGGGAAAGGAACACTTTTTGTGTTTGCAATTGCACTTTCTCCTTCCCATGTCTGCATTTGATACAAAAGCCTCTGCATTCAGCTTTGCAGGAGTCTCAGACCAGACCATTTCACAGATAAAATAGAACCACGAGTATTCTCATAAAACCAGAGTAATTTGAGAGAGTAGTTTCTAGTTAAGTTTTCTTCACTTACAGTGCTGTCCTCCCTGGCCTGCTGTGCTATGGCTTGTGCTCAGTTGTGCTGACACAGTTACGTGCTCAATCAATGAAATGAATTAGGTTAAAAGAATTACTTTTAACCCAGAGCAGTTGAGTGGCTTGCTGTCTATGGACACCAGTGTCGGCAGAACTGGGGACAGTTCTGCTTGGCAGAGCAGAATTGATGGGCAAAAGAGTGAGCTCCTTCAGCTAGAATTATATTTGAAGAAAAAGTATAGATAAATTGGCTAAACAGTACAAACTTTTAACATCTACTTTTATTAGAATCACTCTAACCAGGTGTTTCCCTTCCTGTGTTATCTGTGCTTTTCTTAAGCTTGTGTCTAAGATATGTAGGTGAGAAAAATCTGCTAAATGTGCTAAGTGTTGGAGCTGGTGTGAAATTGTGTTTATTTTAAGCATACTAGGTTTCAGTATAGCTTTGATTCCAAGGGAGAACCCCCTCAGTGAATTCAGTGTGAACAACAATGGCATCAGAGAAATCCATTCTATCCAACAGCCTTCCTTAAAATTTTTGACAGCTCAGCCAACTGAGGCAGCTGACAAACACAGCAGTTTGCACAGCAGTCTATGGGCTCATTTCTAGATCTAGATTTTTTGGAAACTGCTTCCAGGGTTGCCAGAGGATTCCTGGAAGCTCATTTAGGAATGTCAGGGTGCCTGCTGCTGCCAGGAACTGACAGCTACCCCAGGCTGTGACTTCTAGAAGTCTCTAGAAGCTTCTAACTCTTCATCTTCAGTCTCTCTTCATCAAGGGCTGCTTTGGGCTTTTGTTCTAGCAGACAGTTCCCTGATCAGGGAAGGTGAGACATCTTTGTAGCAGGTGCCAGAGAGAGGCCAATGTAAGTGCATTGCTACTTACTAAGCTAAGAGATTTGCCAGCTTGCACAGCAGCTTGTGCAGAAGGGCACGAAAAGTTCTACTGGGGACAATGTTTGTGTGCTTAGCAGTGGTGGTGACGCCACACAGTCCCCCATCTATCCCTGGTACAGTGGAGGACTTGACACATGCTGACCTCCTGAAAGAAGATGAAGTTTTAGGGCTGCAGGGATGCTGAGAGTCTCTCATAAGGGCAAGGGGAGATGGTTGCCCTATTTTCTAACATCACCTGTTCTGTAGGGAGGTTTCCTGCTTCTCAGGGGCTTGTATCCAGGATGGTTCGGAGAGGCTGCTGCGGTTGGTGCAGCCTTGGACTATTACCCCAGGCTGATCTTCCATGTGGGCATCAGTCATACAACCAGGGAAGACCAAGTGTGACTACATGGTTTTGGGGGTGATGGTCTAGGGCATGGGGGTCAAGGTGTTTCTTTCCCTGAACTACTGGTGAGAGGGAGAGGCTTGAGGAGGAATGAATGTATCCTGCAGTTCAACAAGAGGTTGCATAGCTGGTGTTGGCCAGAGGGATTTATCTTTTATGATCACAGGACTCCATTTGAGGAATTAGGATTGCTAGGAAGAGATAGGTCTCACATGACCGGGGGGGCAAAAGCTCCTTGAGAACAGATAATGATGACCCACAGTCAAGTGAGGGAATGGTAGACTAGTGGGCACATTGTGACATGGGCAAGAGAGACATTTAAATCAACAAAATAGGGCTGCATATGCACACAAACAAGGAAGTGTCTACAGAATGGCTTTATGGGGGAAGTTTTCAAACCTTTCCTGGGAAATCAATATGACTGCACACCTCGCTGACGTACCTGCATGCTGATGTGCACAGCACAGGGAACAAACAGGAGGAGTTTGAGATCTGTGTGCCGTTGCAGGGCTGTGGTCTCATCTGGGTAACAAATGTGGGGTGATACCTCTCATGACTGTAGCGCTACCATGGATCTTTGGGATGAACAAGCCAGAATGGTGAAGAGGGGGCGTCACCCTATACCTGAGAGCATCAGGAAGGCATGGAGCTCTGCCTTGGGGAGGATGACGAGCCAGCTGATCCTCACTGATCAGGATAAACAGGCAGACCCGTGTACAAATACAGCGGTGAGTGTCTGAAACAGACCAGCTGATTGAGAAGTAGATGTAACCTTTTTCAAATAATTGGAAGAAGCCTCATGTTCACACGCCCTACTCCTCATGGGGGCCTTTAACCTGTCATATTTTTAATCACTTTTTACCATTTTAATAATAAAATCTCGAGCCAGGGAACATTTACTTTCTTCTTCTTCTTCTTCTTTTTTTTTTTCCACTGACACTGTTATCTTAATGAGATTTTTTTCCTGTTGATGCCAATGGCATTGGCCTACATTACAATGGCTATAGGTGGGTTCATAGTCAGCTGTGATACTGAATTAAAGTCCATTAAATCTGAGCTTTTCAAAGGATTCCCAGAAATGCAGAGATCTAGGGAAGTATAGACATCTAGGACAGGATTTTCAAAAGGCTTCTCAACACAGGACGACTCATAAGAATATCAGAAAAGGGATTAGGCTCATTTTCTGTCAACTCAATGTGATTCAAGTTGCTACTTTATGCACTTAGGAAGCTTGCATTTATATTCAATTATAGGAACTTCTGAAAATCTCACTTACATAAGAGAACTGTAAAAAATCTGGAATGATCAAGTCATACTCCTCTTGGCCCTTGTGGCCAACTCATGTGATGGTCCGCAGCAGTGTTATTGGTACAGGCCTCTTCCTGTGTCTATCTTCCATGATTGCTTTGAGTGCCAGAAACTTTTTCTCTGTGCCTACCTTAAACTTTTCCTTCATTAGCTTCAAGCCATTACTCGCCATCCTAACTTCTCCTGAGACTGAATAATTCCTTTCTCTCTTTTTTTTTTTGTTGTTGCCTTGAAATTATTTATAGTCTGTGATCATGTCTCTCTGGGTTTACTCTTGTCTAGACTAAATATATTTAGCTCTTTTACTGTCACTCTCTGTGTCTTACTGTCATTTGTTATCCATCCCTGCTTTCCTGAGGTTCTCAGTACCTTCCCTAGGCTGAGAAAAATAGTACTAAAAGTAGTATTCCAGGGTGGTCACATCAAAAATACATTTAAGTGACATTATCAGCTCCTGAATTTTACATGCCATTTTGTGCACATACTATAATAGTGACTCTAGACCAATCTGCCAGTTTTATTCTTCTTTTTCTGCTATTTTTATTCTTTTTTTTTATTCTATCGTTTCCATTCAAGAATATAATTTTATTGAACTTGAAGCTTTGCAACAGTATTTTACAACTTAAGCAATTTAACTGATTTTGTTTGAATCATGCTGCTGAAGGCACCAACTCATCCTTTTATGCTCAGTTACAGATTTTATCTCAAACAAACTGGAGAAGCAATAAGAGCAGTATATTAAAGCGTAACGTAGAATCATAGAATGCTTAAGGTTGTAAGGGACCTCTAGAGGTCATCTAGTCCAACCCCCCTGCACACGCAGGGTCACCTAGAGCAAGTGGCACAGGACTGCGTCCAAGCGGGTTTGGAAGATCTCCAGAGAAGGAGAC